AGGGTACTGGACTGAAGGGAACATACCTCAACATAATTAAAGCTATTTACAACAAACCCACAGCCAGTATCATTCTAAATGGAAAAAAACTGGAAGAATTCCCATTAAAATCAGACCAGAAAAGGCTGTCCACTATCTCCACTCCTTTTCAACATAGTGCTTTAAACTTCTGCTAGAAGAATAAGACAAAAGAAGGAAATTAAAGTAGTATTAATTGGAAAAGAAGAGGTCAAATTATCCTTTTGGAGATGATATACTATACCTAAGAGATCCCAAAAATTCCACCAGAAAACTCCTAGAACTGATCAACACTTTCAGTAAAGTGGCAGATTACAAAATTCAACTACAAAAATCAGTAGCCTTTCTATATAGCAATAAGAAGCAATAAGAGAAAGAGTACAGGGAAACCCTCCCACATTCACAATAGCCTCAAAAAACAAAAGAAACTTGGAATAAGCCTGACCAAAGACAAATATCTCTACAATGAAAATCTTAACATATTTAAAGAGATTGAGGAAGGCACCAGAAGACGGAAGGAACTCCCATGTTCATGGATTGGAAGAATTAATATTGTGCAAATGACCATACTACCAAAAGCAATATACATATTTAATGCAATCCCAATCAAAATCCCCATGATATACTTCACAGAATTAGAAAACAACCATCCTTAAATTCATATGGAAGCACAAAAGACCTTGGATAGCCAAAGCAACCCTGAGGACAAAGAGCAACAATGAGGGGTTTATTATACCAGACTGCAAACTATACTACAGAGCTATAGTCATAAAAACAGAATGGTACTGGCACAAAAATAGACATATAAATCAATGGAACATCATTGAAGACCCAAACCTGAGTCCACGCAATTTCAGTCAACTGATATTTAACAAAAGGGAAAAGAACATTCATTCACTGGAGGAAAGGCAGTACCTTCAGCAAATGGTACTGGCAAAACTGGATCTCCACCTCCACAGAAGAATGAAACTAGACCCTTATCTTTCACCTTGCACAAAAGTCAACTCCAAATGGATCAAAGACCTATATATGAAACCTGAAGCTCTGAAACTGTTTGAAGAAAACATAGGCAGTAACCTACAAGATATAGGTGTAGGAGAGATAAAAAGTACCTAGCTAGCATAAAAAACAGAGGGATGTATTTGAGTGTGGACTTTATGGCACAGCCATAAATGTGGGGCGCCCACTCTTCTGTAAATAAACCCTATACCCTATGCTCTGTTTAAAGAAACTAGAGGGAATTGTATTAGTCCAAAAACCTACTGAAAAATTACACATACAGTATATATGAGTCCTTAAATATAGCTGAAGACTACATAACAAGAAACAGTGCCAGACAGGAGAAACCTTCCTTTGAGTTGTTGGCCAGGGTAGTCCACAGACTCCCAAAATTATACAGGCTATTGCCACAGTCCTTGATTGTCTCCCTGAACTTGATGGTAAGACCCTTTTGCTGAAGACAAGACATACTTTGGACACAGGATTTGCAGCAGCAAAGCCACGTCCCCTGAAGGCTAACTGGCATAGCTTTGGAGAGTACCATGCGAGCTGCTAAGGGAGAATATTGATGATCCAACCACAGCTTCAAGGCCTAAAAAAAACCACTTCAACGACCAGCATAGCATATGACATTGATGCAGTAGTGGCACCTTAAGCCCACTCAATGGGAGGAAATTCATGTGTGGTACTGCAAACCTAGCCAAATACACATAGCTGGAGAGGTCATAGGCCTTAAGAGAAAACTCCAAGTATCCCAGACACCACCCATCAAAGAAGCTTCTTTTTCAAGAGACAGAGACAATTACAGAGTTCTACAACTGGTTACACACAGAGACTGTCTGTGAACTGCCCAAGTCTACATGGCACATCTAGGATACAACCTCCCTTACACCTAAGGCTCAGGGAACATAGAACAAGGGATGAAGAGAACACGAATGCATCTTTCAACTCTCATCAATGAAGCTCCCTCATGCAACAGAGGGCCAAATGCAGAGAATAAGAGTGTACAGGGTATGGGTCCTTGGACAGGACTCCTATATTAAAACCCACCCAGCCAGGGCTCCAGGACCAATGTGGAAGAGGGGGCAGAGAGATTGTTTAGAGCCAGGGAGGAGGTGCAGGGCCATATGGAAATAGTCCTACAGGTGCCTGGGACCCTTCTCATTGAAACCTACAGCAATGGTGTCAGCATGCACAAGACCCATGTAAACTCAGGCAGACTTTTAAAAAACCCAGTACAGAACTGTGGAAATTAACAACAGGCCGCCATCTCAGTTGAAGAATTATTAGCAGCTAATTACTGCTGGGCGAGGAATTGCTGATCTTCTTAAAGAGAGGGACTCTATAGATAGGCTGACTAAATCCTAGTGGATGAATGTGCACTGAAAGACATCTGGGGACACTAACTTTACATGATAGGCCTTAACACAACAGAATGTATGAACTCCAGCATGGGGGGTGGGGTGAGGGCTATGGGAGGGTGCCAAAGGGAAAATAAAGATGATTTTATGTATGAAATACACAAAAGTTCAATACTTTAAAAAAAACAACTTGATTTTTAATTTTTATGTGTATATTTTACCTGCATTTGAGTGTACTCATGTTTTGCAATGCCTGTGAAGACTAGAAAAGGGTGTCAGATCCCCTGGAACTGGTGTTAGAGGCCATATACACACTGGGAACCAAACCCAGATCCTCTGTAAGAGCTAAATTAGTGCTCTTAACCACTGACCCGTCTCTCTAGACTACTTCCCCACCTATTTTTTGTTATCTTTTTGAGACAATGTCTCTCAACAACCCCAGCTGGCCTGAACTCCCTATGTAGACCAAGCCAATCTAATAGAGATCTGCCTACTTCTGCTGAGATCAAAGGCATGTACCACTATGCCCCACTCCAACTGTTTAAAAAAAACAGGGTCTCACTTTGTAGACCAGCTTGGCCTTAAACAAGGCAATCAGATTCAGATTTGGTGTGGAACTATATGCTCAGTGCCCAATTCTGTTCGTTCTCTCAATTATCGACACTTTAATGATCATTAAATATGTGACTGAATTCTTGAACACCTTTAAGCTGTACTGAAAATCAGAATGCAAGGGTAATGTCACTGACCAGCTACTGTGTGCTTTTAAACTTCAGATTTAAATCATTAAAAAAAAAAATTGTATTAGCCCCAGTAGCATTAACTGGGCTCATCATCAAATATTTGGAATTAAGGCAAAACTTCAACAGTGGTTTTCAAACTTGTTCAAATAGCAGAGCATTATCAGTAATAGACTCAACCAAACTCACCAAAAGCCACAGAAATTATGCTATACTCTGGCACACACATGCACATGTATAGTGACATGTACACAGAGGTCAAAGGACAACTCTCCTTCAACCCTGTGGTTCTCAAGGATTAAACTTGCTGTGTCGGATTTGGTGGCAAGCACCTTTATTCACCCAGTCAACTCATCAGCACTAGATTCTTTTATAAAATGCATAAAACAATTAAGAAATCACGTTTAATTAATACTTGTCAATTTGTTTTATTAACCATTAGAAAAGAGTTGAAGAAATGGATTCCATTTAACAGCAAAATAATACATTGGAGTCAATCCAGAAATGTTAATGGTTTTCCTGTTTTAGGAATTATTCAGGGAGCAATTTGCAACAACTTTTAAGGCAAGAGTAATGAAAATAAGGTGACTCAAACATTGTCTACAACCTTAACAATGAAGATTCTTAATAAGCTGACCTGTGACAACAAATATTTTAAAACACAACCTGAGTCACAATTTCACTAACATTCGTGCTTTAATAAAACAGAGGAATTTAAGCAAATTATCACTTTTCATATTTCCTGCTATACTTCTCAGCTTCCTGAGAACTTGTCACCAACAAGTGAGTTTAGTTCACACAGGAGTTAAGAATACAGTCATGAAATGAGCTGCAGCACAGCACCCATCCCTGAAATCATTCCTACTCACTAAATGTTCTTTATACATCTTCACTTTAAATAGGATGGGCAATGTAAATCAAAATGACAACTGTCTTAAAAAACTAGTCTTTTTCTCATTAGTAATTTCTATAGTTCAACAACTCCAGAATTTCTTTAACACCTTCCTTGGTATATAAATATACTTAGATCCAAAAATACCTATAATGATAGATTTATGATTATGAAAAATACACTTATCTTTATTTAATAGGGGCTGCAGGAGATCTCTGCTGGAAAAAGATGACCTTAAACTACGTAACAGGAATAAGCTTTCTATAATTTCAGAGTATCTTTCTAAAGTAGGGTTAGGTTTTAAATTAAGTTTGAAACTAAGTTCACTGACTGAGAAGACAAGCAAGATATATATACATATAAAAATATAAAACATAGCCAGGTGTGGTGACACACACCTATAATCCCAGCACACTGAGGGGCAGAGACAGAAAGATCGTTAAGTTCATGGCCAGCCTAGGCTACATAAAGACCCTGTCTCAAAACAGACAAACAAAACAAATATGGGAAGTCAGACACTAATACTAGCTGGTAAAATTTACAAATGGTTTAATTATATACCCTATTTTTTTTAACTAGGCAACACACACACACACATACATACACACACACACACACACACACACACACACACACACACGCATGCACACAGGGCAGTTTGGAATGTCTTCCAAGTTTACTTTTCGGCATACATGAAAAGAGTGATAATCTCTATAGACGTTTTATAGTACAACCTTCAATGAAAATATTCAGGCTAACTCTCCATTAAGAAGAAACATATGAGGCACATTTTCTAGTGGCTGGTTTCTTCCAAACCAAAAGAAAAAAAAGGTAACGGCATGAACAGCAAAGTAGCCACATAACATTTTCTGATTCTGATCATTTTAGTTATTCTAGACATGAGGCAGAGGCAGGCGGATCTCTGTGAGTTCAAGGCCAGCCTGGTCTAAGTTTAAATCGAGAATAGAAAAATAACACCATCATAAAACAAAAAAAAAAACAAACCCCAGAAAACTCATGTTGTAACTAAATACAAAACTATCTGTTGCTTTATTTGTCAATAAAGAATCCTACAAATATCCACAGTCCATGAAGCATTTTCACTGACCACATGGATTTTGTTATTAAATATATACAAATGTTTCTATTAAACAAAACCAACATATTCACAAGCTGCAAAAACTCATGCAATTAATGAAGGCTGAAATTTATAAATAAAAAAACATTGTCTTCTATACATAATGTACACACAGCCATGCATTTAGAAGTGAATGTTGTCCTCATAAGAGTCCTCTATCACAGGCAAATGCTGCTGCACAAGTATTTGCGAATGCAAATGAACAGAATCTTAGTAAATTATGCGTAACATTTTAACTCCCAACAAGTTGAAACTTGGTATTTTTCTTAAATGTTCTTCAAAGGTATCATCTGCAAGGAACAGTTTAATTATTTTGTGTTTCATTAGGTGTTTCACTAAGAACAAATTTCCTGAACCTCAGGTACAACAAGTATGAATTTTAAAAGTTATAAACACCTCTATCAGTTCAGCAAAATGAAAATTAAATTTCAATCTTAAGATATTTTGTATTACAAGTGTCCCCAAAGTTGCATGAGTTTAAGAAAGTACAAAAAAAGTATGCATTTCTTTTACTTTCAAATTTCAGTAACACATTTAAATTTAAAAAAAACTGTGTAATGGCCAAGAAAATATGGTAAGAGAGATTTTAACTAATGAATGTATAAAAACTGACTTAATTTACTGCTTTCAGGATTTGCTATTTTATCAATTTTGCAAAGTCTCGACTTTTAAATTGTACAGTATTTCAGAATTTAACAACCAAAAAATTTCTGGTGAGGTTTCGAAAACCTTGAACTCTCACTTAACATACTAAACAGAATTTTCATGGGCTGGTGATCTCCAACGTGACTGTAGATTTTTTATGATACAGTTTGCCATGGTGCCAAGTTTCTCATGCATTTCAAACAGCTGGCTTCCTGAATAGTTATAGAGATCTTCTGAATCCAGCTGAAGAGCAAGAGCACTAATCTGTGTCATGAGATTTCTAGATAATGGAGTGTCTAAAGTAACTGGATCCATCAAATCTACAAAGAAAAAGAAAAAAAAAAATCACATCAAATATGTAATGTCAGATAAAACTTAAACTATGGGCTGAGCCTTTAGTCCCAGCACTTGGGAAGCAGAGGCAGACAGATCTCTATGAGTTCAAGGCCAGCTTGATCCACATAGTGAATTCCAGATCAGTTGGAGCTAGAGACCCTGTCTCAAAAAGACTGAAAAAAAAAAACCTTAAACTTTGTATCTCCTATCAATCTAAAAAGGCGAGTGTGAGTTATCAAATAGAAGAAATGGGCTAATGTTCAAGAAAAGAAAATGCCAGAAAAATCTACTACAGCTTATTATTCTGTCCATGACGTAACTGCAACATAAGACAGTTTGTTCACGAGGCATTGACACAATTAGGGAAAACCAACTAGATGCACCTAAAACTCAGGTGGTTAGTTTTCCATACACTTGGCATCAAGGGTGTGAGCTATTTGTTGAATTAATGAGTCAAACTAAACTAAAACTAAAAGCATTAACAAAATCTTTTCAAGATGTTAGTTTGCCTTCCAAACGAAAGCAATGCACTTGGTTAAACATACCTGAGACAAGTCTATCTTCATCAGTATTAAGAGGTTTGCTTTCTATTCCATTTACTGCCTTGTCAGAAATATCAAAAACTGGAATTTCTTCAAGTCCACGAGATTTCATCTTGATTATATATTCAGAACAGTAACAAAAAGAACAAATAAAAACTTATTTTTAACAGAAATAATATGAACATGGGAAAAAAATTAATTCATCCAATACTGCTAACAAACTGTGCTACTACCAACTATAAAAATTGGCATTACAAAGTGTTTCCTTAGAGGGAGTCAGAAATTTATAACATTTCCTATTATAATGTTAGTAAAGAAAATTAATTTCCCGAGTTCAGGAATAAAACAAGGCAAAAACACCAGCAGAAATTACTACAGTTAAATAAGAGCAGCAATTATCTTTTAAATTTAAATTTTCTGGCTGGATGTAGTGGTGTGCGCCTTTAATCCCAGCCCTAGGGAGGCAGAGGCAGGTGGAACTCTGAGATCAAGGCCACCCTGGTTCACATCATGACTTCCAGGTGGGATGTGATAGGGAGACCCTGTCAAAAGACAATCATCAACAACAACAAAAAATTTCAGGTGCAGAAATAGTTCAGTAATAGAGCACTTTCGCAGCATGGACAAGTTCCTGATCCAGGGACCAAATTAGAATAAAACTCTTATTGCCTGGGTTTATGATCCACTGATTAAGAAACCACTACTTTTAAGAAGTTGTCATGCTGGGCATGGTGGTGCATGCTTTAAGAGGCAGAAATAGGCAGATCTTTGTGAGATGGGCCAGGCTGTTCTACATAGTCTGCCATGACTCAACAACTCCTAGTCAATGGATATACACAAAAGAAATGAAAACATATGCTCATGTAAAAACTTGTATATGAATATTTATACTAGCATTTCTTATGAGAGCCAAAGGAAAAAGCAATCCACAAGTCCATTATGGTACATTCAAATAATTCAGATGTATAAGGATTATGACATGCCCTAACAATAAACCTAGAAAACACCACACCAAGTTTAAGAAGCTAATTTACAAAAGATGGCAGTTTGTATGACCCCCCATTATTAAGAAACAACCAGAGTAGAAAAGCCTATAGAGAAAACAAAGTAGTAACTGCCTGGGACTAGGGGCTGCCTGGGACTAGGGGATGGAAATGACATGAAAAGTGGTAGGTATTGAGTTCAGGCTTTGTTCATTTGAAAGAACTTCAATATAGAGTCATTTACCTATAGACTGCATGGGTCAATTATCTGGGGGTATGCAAATGAAATCTTATGTTATTTAAAAATATGCATATATTTTATTTAAATATATAACATAATAATATATAAATAAAATTTTCAGCTAGTCCTAGGGCTGAACACTAATTAAGAAAATAATGGAGCTGGAGAGATGATTCAGTCATTAAGAGCACTTGCTACTTTTGCAGAGGACCCAGGTTCTGCTCCAAACAGCCATATGGTGGCTCAAAACCATCTGTAACTTCAGCTCCAGGGTATAGGATGTCCTGTTCTAACTTCCACAGGCTCTTGCACACATGTACACATAATAAACTCATTTATTTTTCTTTTATTTTTCAAAGATTTTTTTTTTAATTTATTACTTTTATTGTGTGTGTGTGTGTGTGTGTGTGTGTGTGTGTGCGCGCGCGCGCAATGCCTGAGGAAGTCAGAAGTGGGCATTAAATTCCCCTGGAACTGCAGTTATAGTTGTTAGCCACCATGTGGGTATTGGGAACTGAACCAGGGAACAGCAAGAGCAGTCAGTGCTCTTCGCTGAGCCACCTCTCCAGTCCCCTGCTTGTTTTTATTAAAGTATCAAATCAGAAATAATACAAAATAAATACTTTCAAGAATATAGAAGCCTTCATTCAATAGGTGACTAACCACATGTTGAGAAATTCTAATATAGAGCACTGTTTTTCACCTTTAACAATCCAGTTTTTTCATTTACCCGCAGTTTGTAAAACTGTCAATAGTCTATGAATGGGTTTGAAGAGTCTATAAATCCTGATATTATAAATATCTTCTGTGTGGGGCTGGAGAGATGGTTTATTGGTTAAGAGCACTAGCTACTCTTGCAGAGGACCAGAGTTTGAGTCCTAGCACCCACATGGCAACTAACAATTGTAGTAACTCCAGTTTCAGGGGATCCAGTGCCCTCTTTTGACCTCCAGGGACACTGCACGACACAGGTGCACTTATATGCATGCAGGTAATACACTCATACACATAAAATATTTTAAAAAGTAAGTATCTTCTGTGAACACTTCTATGATGGTGGGGAAGAGTTCTAGAATCTAAAAATAAAGTCCCAAGATGTTTATGATATTATAATGTGGACAGAAGAACAAGAAAAGTCCCAAATGTGCTACATAAAAATTTAAAGCTTGACATGGAGTACATATAACCCCAACACTTAAGAGGAGGTGGAGGCAGAAGGATCAGGAGTTCAATCACTCTCTACTAGAGTTTGAGGTCAGCCTGTGCTATGTAAGACCCTGTTTTTAACACATACATACATTAAAAAACTATGATCCAAGGGCTAGAAAGATGATGCAGCAGTTAAGAGCACTGGAGGCTCTTGTGGAAGACCTAGGTTCAGTTCCAAGTACCCACCTGGGGGCTAAGAACATTTTAACTCTGGTTCCAGGGGATTTGATACCCTCATGTGACTTGTGTAAGCACTGTATAAATGTGGTGTACTTACATACAAGCACCAAAAAAAAAAAAAAAAAAAAAAAAAAAAAAAAAAAAAAAAAAATGCATGCACATAAAATAAAACCTATTTTAACAATCATGATCTATAAACTAGTGATATTCTTCATTTAGATCTGAGCATCTAGGCCTTAGGAATACTAGCTTTGGGATCACCATTTGGTCAAAATGAAACAGAACCAGGCATGGTAGCAAACATCTTGAACCCCAGCACTCAGTAGAGTCAGGTGATCTCTCTGAGATGAGGTCAGCCTGGTGTACACAGTGAGTTCCACTACAGCTGGGATTACAGGAAGACCCTGTTTCAAAAACAGAAATGAAAACAAAAAGAGAGAAAGGATAACTGAATTTAAAGAAGAAAACATAAGTTTAAATACAAGCTTTTGTAGCTATATTGGTAGATTTGTTGTTGCTTTCTCTCTTGACTTTTGGTTTTGAGACAAGGCCTTGTGCTAGAATTAGAAGAAGTGCAAACTACTACATCAGCTGGATCACTTAATAAACTGTGATTCTTATGTAACAAGTTTTTACCTGCTGCTCATGGTACACTCTGAGAGCTTTTTTTACATTGGACACTTTCGGAGAACGGATAGGAAGAGTTTTTATTTCAGATGCTGTAAGCGTACTCAAATCACCAATTGTTTTAATATTCTTGGCTCTGATAAGCTGTCCTAGACCTCTTGCCCTGAAAAGATAAAAAGAGGGAAACATTTAGTTTTAATGACTATTTGTGAGCCCTTCTCCCTTTCAACTCAGAGTTTATTTATATATCCTACATAGTGCAGTGGGTATAGAGATGCTGACTTAAAGTTTAGTTTGAAATCTGACATGTGTACCTGACTTAAAAAGTAGACATCTAATAATCCTACTTTGTGTACTACTTTTTAATAAAAATGAAGAAAAAAAAATTTGAGACAGGGTCTCCCTGTAGTCCCGGCTGGCCTGGAACTCACTATGTAGATCAGGCTGCCCTGGATCTCATACAGATCCGCCCGCCTCTGCCTCCCAAGTGCTGCGAATAAGGGCCTATACATTTGACAATAAAAAAGAACCTTCAGCATAGTGGCTGTGTCCTTGCTGTTGGGTGTACGTATACATAGGTGGAGGAGAAGGAAGGTAAAACTGAATTTTCCATACTAGCTTTATATAAGGTTCAGGCCTCTTATCAGTTGTGTGTCATTTTTAAAACCTCTCTTGATCCAGATCCTTTTCACTGTCACTTCTCTCTTTACTTTGCAAACAATTCCCTAGAGGAATTTACCTTCAACAGTTCTCTTAATCAAGATGTATCACGTGAAACAGGTGACAAACATAAGCATCAAATTTCTAAATCTTAAACATTAAGGAAACAAGATTTAATTGAAACAGAAACAAATGCCTCTCAATGAGTTTTACTTAGTAAGTCTGCATGACAACTTTTAACCATGCAATTTTGGTGCTTCAATCTTTGTAAAATTCCATTATTACAAAGTAGAAATGTTATAGTCCTCAAAGGGTTTATAATAGAACTAAACAAGTTAATGTACACAGACTCAAATGCTTGGCAAACACTAAGTAAACACTTATTCACATTAAGATACATTTATTTTTACTTATTTCTGAAATAAAATGTGAACACATGCTAATTAATTCTAAACTTGAAAATGTTAAGCATTTAAATAGTCTTCTAGATCAAGGCCTGATTCAAGCCTATAATCCCAGGTACTAGGGAGAACAGCAGAATCAAAGTTCAAGAAGTGATTGGGACACAAGGTATAGATAAAGCATGAGGTTCATATAGGAAAGGCCTTAGATAGTCTTTTATTTGTATGTCTCAACTAAAACCTAAAAACCTTGTTTCTTCCATGTTTTAAGTCTTGGAAATCCTTGCGAATTGACAGTTCTACAATGCCATGATAATAAAAAAGAAAAAAATACAGAGAACCCAGGTTGACACTGAACTTGCTATGTAGCAAAGGATAGTATTAAACTATTTCTACCAAGTACTGGGATTATGGACTTGTACCACCACTCCCAGTTTATGCATGCTAAGCAATAAGCATCAACCGCAGTTTCCACACAGATCTCCCTGCAACCCCAGCTAGCCAGGTTGGCTGGAATCTCAGAGACCCACCTGCCTCAGCCCCCAAGTGCTGGGATTATAGGTAAGAGTGGGCCATGCTGAGCCTCCAGATACCATATCTTGATGAAAGAAAACTGGGTCCCAAGCAGACCTTGAACTTGCAATAGTTCTGTCTCAGCCTCTTTAGTAGCTAGACTCCCTGCCTGATCGGGGCAACCTTAACAAAACCAACAACTTTAAAATAAAAGGCTTATAAACAACAGAACACCACAAACCACACCATACCACTTGGGCCAAGGCAGAGAGACAGACCTCTGTGAGTTCCAGACCATCCAGCCTGGGCTATACAGGCAGACCCTGTCTTTAAAAAAATAAAAACAAACAAACAAACAAAAACCCTGCACCTTAGATTATAAACCATTAACTTAAATAACCACTTACCACATGTTTGATGTAATTTGAGGTAAAATGATGTCGACGGGTGCTGCACAGTTCACCAAAGCTGGGTAAACACTTTCTGTTGGGGATAACATGGATTCTTTGGCCATTTCTGCAATCTTAGAATAAATTTCAAAAGTCATTACATAGAGGTCACATGACTGAACATGAAAATATAAAGTTACATGAAAACTAAAGCACTTCTTACTAAACATTTCTTTGAGCTCTTAAATTTAGAGCTACGTGATCCTGGGGACAGAAATCCTTTGATTGAAGTGGTATTATGCTAGACAGAAGAAGAGAAAAAAAAACTCAGAACCCTAGACAACTATAACTTTACAAATTAATTTTTACAACTAATACTTGATTACCTTTTCAAAATTTTAGAAAACAAAATCAGAATAGGATAAACTACTCATTATTTACTCGTGGGATCACTGTCCTCTTAGCACCTCTTCATGTCTGCTCACTATAAAGTACACAAAGAGCAATAAACAAAGAAATTTGTTTTCTATCTTCAAATTATTTGCATGCAAGTCTGTGTATAGACATACGTTTATTCTAAAGCATACAGCTTACCTTAGATGGTGCAGTAGGTGAAGTTTTAACACTTTTAATTATGGGAGAATTATTTGAAGAATGAGACCTAACAATAGAGCAACGCCTATCAATGTCATCTGCCAGTCCTGCTTGGTATATTGGATCTGCAAACGAGACACGGCGAACCTGAAATTACAGGGAGTTTTCATTAAAAAGGCAACACCATAAATTTTGTTTGTCCACATATACAAAAAAATACGTAAGAAATAAAAATATTTTTATTTATTGTTTTAAAATATTTTATTTATTATTTTTATTTCATGTATATGCATGTATTGCCTGCAAGTAGGTAAGTGAACCCGGGTTGTGCAAGGCCTGTGGAGGACAGAAGAGCTGTCGGATTCCCCGGAACTAGAGTTATAGATAGTTGTTAGCTGCCATGTGGGTGCTGGGATTCGAACCTGGGTCTTCTGTAAGAACAACCAGTGTTCTTAATCACTGAGCCATCTCTCCAGCCTCAAAATTTTGGTAACCCATGGACTTACATATAGACCATAGACAACTAGTTCTTGATACACCCTATTAATCATTGTTCTAAACATTTTAAATGTGTAAATAGATGCACCTGTGCATGTGGAAGTCGAAGGCCAACCTTTGGAGGTAATTTCTCAACTGTCATACACCTTTTTATGGGACAGTCTCTCCCTCTCCTCTCTCCCTCTCTCTTGCCAGGAACTCACTGAGTAGGAGGAAGCAGACCCAGAAAACCCCAAGGATTTGCTTATCCTGCCTCTCCTGCACTGGGATTCCTAGCACATGCCACCAAGCCCAGCTTCTTTCTTTTAAACATGGGTTCCAGGAATCAAATTCAGGTTCCCATGCTTATCTGTCTTAACCTCACTGGTGGCTGATTTGGCTTCTTCTAAAGACCTATAATATGTTCACAGTAAGTTACCAGCTACAAATATACAACAGAGTACTCGTAACTATTAACACTGTTAAATAATCTTCTAGTCTAGATTTTTAGGCAACACGTATTTGTCATAGTAACAATGCTATCCTGTTGTCTAAATAGATATTAAATCTAAATTACTATTTTTAAAGAGTTAAGTTGCATAAGCAATCTGAAGAATTCTGTAGAAAGTTGTAAATTTTGCCGGGTGTGGCAGCCCATGCCTTTAATACCAGCACTTGGAAGGCAGAGGCAGGTGGATCTCTCTCTGAGTTTGAGACCAACCTGCCAACCTGGTCTACAAAGTAAGTTCCAGGCCAGCTGGGGCTACAGAGAGGCCCTGTGTCAAAAAGACAAAGACCAAAAAAAAAAAAAAAAAAGCTATATATTCTGAAGTGTGTCTTCAAAGTTTTTAAGAACATGTATTATATGGCCCATGAGGATATTAAAAATGGTGAGCTGTGCTCTCATTACTTCCCAACCCACTATCTCTTGTAATGTATAATAAAAATGTTTTCTTTAAATAAAAAAGATTTAGGGCTACCAAGATGGCTCAGTGGGTAAAGGTGTTCACCGCCAAGCCTAGTGATAGAAGTTCAATTCCCAGGACTCACATGGTGTAAAGTAAATGGACTCCTTCAGGTTATTTGACTTTCACACTCAAAGGTACACATACAAAATAAATGTATGTGACTAAAAATGGCCCAAGCAATGGTCTCCAAAGAATAAATTCTTTAGTCTCAGCACACATGTAACCAGCACAGGCAGGTCTATCTTTGTGAGTTCCAGGCCAGCCAGGGCTGCGTAATGAGACACTTTCTCACTAAAATCAAAAACAAAAGCTGGTTGTAGTGGTGTACACTTTTAATCCCAGCACTCATGAGGCAGAGGCAGGCAGATCTCAGTTCCAGAGCAACTGGGGCTAGAGACCCTGTCTCATCAAAACAAAACAGTTAAAAGCAAAAAAACAATCTCAAAAGCTCTATCTTCCTGGACAAATTACAAGTTCTTGTTAGAATTATCAATGTATCTTCCAAAGTGAAAAATCATAGAAACAAAGTAAAAATAACAAAGGGAAGTCCTAAAAATGTGCCTGCTGGCCAGTGGCAAATCCGTATGATTATTATCCTAGCTACTCAGAAAGCTGAGCAGAAAGACTGAAAGCCCAAGATCAACCTAGGCAACACAGCAAGATCCCCATTAACTCCCAAAAGGTAAAGAAGTGCCTGTTGAAGGCAAAGATCAAAGTGTCTTGTTCATATACACACATATGTACGTACAAATGCATATTCCATAACAGCAGGTCCTATTTCAAAATTAAGTTGGGGTATGATACGGGTTACAGTGGAGAAAGGGGGCAGGGGTTCTGTGTGAATAAATTACATAGTATAAAAATTCTCAAAGAATCAATAAAAATATTTAAGATACAATATTTAATATTTCAGAATGTCAACATGACACCTTTTCAAAAGATCTATTTTGCTATGTAGATGACAGGTACAGGTTATGTCCCTCTCCCTCATTCATTGAGTGAATTTTATAAGGTAAACACCAAAAGCTAAAGTAAATGCCTAGATAATTCATTTTTCCTGAACTATATGTACATAGTCAGTGAAGAGGTAAAGACATAATATTATAGAGGCTGGAAAGATGGCTCACGTTAAGAGCACTGGCTATTCTTGCAGAGGAACTGTGATTGGTTCCCAGGACCCACATGGCAGCTAACAACCATATGTAACGCTAGTTCTGGGGAAAAGATCCTATGGAGTCCTATTGGTTTCTTCAGAGGTGACCAATGTGATTAAATATCTGCATGAAGTTCTGTAGTGTGAGATGAAGGACAACCTAAACAGCTTCCTGTCTCTCCACGGAAATCATGGCAAATGATAAAATTAAGTCATCATTTAATTCTATATCCTATCATCCACCAGGTTTCACTGGCCACAAATTCAACCCAGTATTAGATTCACTTAAATATTCAGCACCACTGCTCCTACCTTGTTAACAGGTGATGAGATTTCATCTTCTTGGGATCGTTTTAGTCCTCTCTTTAAAATGCTGGTGGATGGGGAAGCCAAAGGTGACCAGATACAACGTGCTTGCATGCCACTAGGACTTTCATTTGCTGAACCAAGTAAAGGATCAAGTTCTCTTAATTTTTCTGGTGATGCATCACTGCTTTCTGCAACCAGCTCTGCAGCCATTTCAGATGTCAGAGATTGTGGTACTTCCTCTACTTTCTCCAAAGTTAGGCGAGTTTCCTGCAAAATGTCATTTTCCACTGCAATTTGATTGTCAGCCAATTTTGCTTCAAGTACCATGTTTGTTTCAGTTTTGCAAGAGTCAGTCTTTACTTCATCAGTGTTCATTTCAAGTGTGCCAGGAACAAAACTGTCAGCTTCTACATTCAGTCCTTCTGTCTGAGTTTGTTTGCCTTTTGAAGTATTAGCAGTTGTGTCTGTATCTTCTACCCTGGCACTGTCAATTTCAGTATTCACCTGAGCTATCACTGTTTCTTTGTCATTTTCTTTCTCCTTATTCGTTTCTTCACATGAGCAGGAATCAGATTCATTACTTCCTCCTAGCTCTCCACCTGCTAGTTCCTCAGAAACCTCAGTCTGAGCATTTGTGTTTAGAGGCGTGGCACTATCAGAAAGACCAATGCAAGAATTAAATCCCTCAGTGACTGTTTCTTCTGTGCTAACTCCTGCTGTGCCTGCTTCAGGTTCATCTTTTTTATCACTTTCCTCTGTTGCCATTTCTTCAGGAATATCAGTTTGGGAGCTCTCTTTTTCAAAGACAGCTTCCGATGTATCATTTGCTGCATCTAATACCATGGCTTCTACTTCCTCTGGACTGGATCCTGTTACTACTCTGCACGTATTTACTTCATCATCAGTGTTTAGTTCTCTTTTGAGGGTAGCTTCTGGATTTTCTGCTTTGGTGTCTAAAGACAAACATTCCTGTGACATGCCCTTGGAATCACTTAAAGCTGGGTCCACATCTTTGTCTTTTTCACTACACGGCTCTTGGCTTTCAGATACTGCTTCACTAGAACCATCACAGGTTTTTTCTTTCATATTTACTATTTCTTCAGACATTAGAGAGTTTTGAGTATCTTCTTTCAACTCCGTTTCAGATGTAATTAAATTATCAACAGTTCCATTGTCCTCCTTAAGTCCCAAACCAAAATTCACATCGGGTTGTTCTGAGTACTGATTAGCTTCGTAAGTTTCTGATACAGTCCCAGGTGCTTGCACATCTGTCTTTTTTGTTTCCACACTCTTTAGGGCATAATTCTCTGTGTTCTTTAACCCAATGAATGACTTTTCCTGGGGTTGTGATTTTTCACCACAACAGTCACAACCTTTGGATCTCCTGACTCTCCTGCTTCTCTTGTGCTGGCATTCAAGTGCTTGGACACATTTTCCGGAAGGCACAGAGACATCTGGTTTCCCTGTCTTAGAGCATTCTCTCACACTGTTATTAGAATCTCGCTTATGTAATCTCTTGCTGGCATTTCTAGTCCTTAGGCTTGATTCTGGCACAGGCGGACTTGCAAATGAGTAGTCTGCACATTTGCTAGGCTTACTTTTTTCCTCATATATAGCTGGTGGAACAGAAATTTGCATCAAATCTGAAGATCCAGTAGAATCCTGGGGGGTTACAATATTACTTTCACTTTTTTCACAATTCTGAGCCCCTGTGTCTACATGAACTTCAGAAAATGCTTTACAATCATCTGTTTGATTGTCAGTTTTTATACATTCGTCTTCAACAGTTTTTCCTTCTTGTTCTTCAACATCAACGCTGTCATTGCTTTTGTTTTTCCATTTTCCAGTTCGTTTCTTTTTAGAAACTTCTTCTTTTGCCTCAGAACTATCAGATTCTGAGTTTTCAATGCTGGAAAGCAACCCCTGAGATGCTCTTCTTGTTAGATAACGTGTTCGTCCCCTTAAAGGTTTCTCAGAAGACTTATCAACAATGTCCTGGGCACCATCTCCCTCAGAACGAACGTTCTCAAGGTCTGGTTTTCTTTTATTTTGGTCAATTTCAACATTAGCACTGGGTTCCCCTGAAGTTTTCTCATGTAATTCATTTCCTTTTTCAGTTAAACTTTCCTGTATAGTTTGATCAGCAGTTAGCTTTTGTTTGGGCAATTTATCATCTTTTACATGTGATGAACTCTTCTGAACTGTTTTTTCATCCTCCTTACGTCTCTCCTTTCTTTGCTGACTATTTTCTTTATCTTGGCTATCAGTGGAAGACTCTACTAGTTCTGAACGTCGCCTTGAAGACCGTCTGAGGGTTACTGGATTTGTAGCTACTACAGCCTGACTATCTTCATTTTCCACCTGATCTGTTGGTGTTGAAGCTGGGGGTGTATTTTCTTTGGATTCCACATTAATGCCTATGTTTCTCTCTTCTGTGGTTTTGTTTTCCAATACATCTTCTACTGTTGACTTGGGTTCTGTATCTTCATGCACTATGGCAGCTTCAGAAAGGTAGTCTTGAATATGTGACATACATTCTGTTTGATTGAGCAAATCAAGAGGGTTATTTTCTAAGGCTATTGTGCCTTCCATAGACTGAGCATGCTCCTCCTGTTCAGATTTCAGTAAAGGCTTGGACCTTTTATTACCTGACTGTTCAGATTTACTTGATCTCCGGCCTGATCTCTTAATTCCATTCACTGGTTTTTCTGAGTCAGATTTCGAGAGAGCTACTTCTCTTTTCCTTATTTTTGGAGTATCTGTTTTAGTTGTGTTCTCCTGGTTATTTCTCACTGTAACTGGGGATGACATATTATTCAAGGGGGATGGGCTAAAAGGCCTATTTTCTGAACCATCAAATTTCTCCAAAGTAATAAAGGATTGCCTCCGACTTGTAGGCTGTGGAGGAGTTCCAGAAACTGTGGCATTAGAAACTGAGCTACTGCTGACCACCAATGAACTTTCTGCACTAGATGTACACTCAGGTGACATTTTCATTGATGAAATTAAAGTGTTTTTCTTGGTGTCTTTATTAATGCTTGGAATTTCTGGATTGGTTTTGGCAACAGAATCATACTCATTTGATAAAGAAGGCTTTTCAAGATGTTCATCCATACCACAGCTTTCCATGGCATCTTGAGGGATGAAAATGTCACTCTCCCCTTGCTCCTCCTATATAGAAACACAGGTTATACAGCCAACATTAAACTTTCTTCAGAAAATTTAAATATAAAACTTTGGTAATTTAAAACATCACTTATTTTCAATATATTGCAAATGATCTAAAAGTAATAGCAAATAACCATTAGCCTATTTGAACTGTTACTATTCACTTAGAGCCATACAGAAGGCCAAGAGTAGGGTATGCTGCTGGAATCCCAGCATGTGGGAAGCAGAGGCAGATGATCAGGAGTTCAAGATGATTCTCAGCTACATAGACACCTGAGATAAGCATGGGGTACATGAGATGCTGTCTTGACTCTTTACTGTACAAAGTCACGATGTCTTTTTAATAAATACATAATTATAATTCTGTTAATTTAAAACTGGGAGTTAGGAAATTCCATCCTAAATCTTATAAATTCTGAAATGAAGATCTAAAGGCAATCAATCATCTTTTAGCAACTTCAAGAGATTTCATAATGGATGAGTGATTTAAAAAAAAATCTTGAAATATGAAAACAGTGGTTATACCTTAATCATCATCTTGGAATCTTCTTTTGGTTTTTCAGTTAAAAGGAGACTTTCCCTAAGATATATAATTGTACATATTAGATTATTTTTAATGATTTAAAAATTAGGAAACTAGTTATAAAAATTCTACACTTACATAGATTCTTCCTGACTAAATTGAGCAGAAAGTAAAGTATCTTGTGAAACATCCAGATTATTATATAAGGCAGGAATATCATACCTGAAAAAAAGACACAAAACCCCTATGTAATACCTCTAAAAATCTGGTGATATTCCTATTATCAGAAATTAAATTTATAATTCTGCCAAACTGTATTAAATTATCCATACAAAAGAACTAGACAATCCTATAAAATCACTTTCCCCTCCAATGCACCTCAACAAAGGAATCTAGAAAACACTGGGTGTTAATGGGTAGATTAAAATATTAGGAAGAGCCATCAGGTACAGTCATCTTCTACCATTAAAATTTAGTATACATAGTTTGGCTAGGCATAGTTCAGAATGGTAGAGTACTTCTCTTCCATGTACAAGGCCTTAAGATTCCCAGACACCATAAAAACCACACCAAAAAAAATGACTTAACATATTATCTTAGTTCTTACAACAGTTATAATTACTTCATAAAACCTAACCCCCAATATAGAGGTAAAGATAAGAAGCCTACAAACCGCTTTGCTTTGAGTACTTCTTTTTGGTGTTCAGTTAGTATTCTTTGCTTTGAATCTTTTCCTTCTGGAGGTATAAATACAAAATCAACAGACTTTTCCTCTTCCAATAGCTTATCACTCTTTATTTTTGGAGATGAAGATTCTACTTTCAACTGTAGGTTTGAATAAAGTAAATGTATATGAGTTCAAATTATTTTCTTTGACTTCTTTGTCTGATATAATCCCCTGATATTTTTCAATATGACTAGGAAGTTTGAAATTCACATTAACACATTTTTTCTCTTCATTTGAAGACAAGGTCTCTCTATGTAGTCCAGACTAGCCTCAAACTTATGATTTTTCTGTCTTTCCTACCAACTAATAGGATTACAACCATGTAAAATCAACCCTGAGGCCTCTATACAATATTCCCAATAACAAACTAAATGTCCTTTGCCTTCTCTTACCTCTAGTAAATACAGAGAAGTAGCAGGTCTCTTAGGCTGCAAGTCTACTTAGTTTTCCCTTTCTAGTCAATATTAAGCTGTATAACAAAAGTCCTAAGAAATCTTTCAAAATATTCTCTTGAAATAAGCCTGAGTTATTCATTTGTTCCTTCTATCTCTTTTCAAGAAGGCTGTTGCCCAAAATGAACTACAAAATGAGAATTACTACCACGGGGCTAAGTACCACAGAGATTTATCTTTACTAAGGAATCAAAACCTCTTCTACATTTGCAGGCTATACTAGCAGTGTTACTTTATAGTAATGATCATACCACCACAATCCTCTATTTTATTTAGAATTTCACACCTTTCTCTTTCCATTTAAAACTTGCATATCCTGGCTCAGGGTGGTGGCTCATACCTTTAATTTTAGCACTAAGGAGACAGAGACAGGGGGATTTCTAAATTTCAGGCCAGTTTAGTTTACATAAGGAGTTCCAGGTCAGTCAGGGATACATAGTGAGATACTGTCTCAAACAACATTAGCAACAAAATAAGCCACAAACAAAAGAACAAAAATAAAACAAAAATTTGCATGTCTTTAGGCTACCACATTACTTGACTTTTTAAAATTCCAGTAAATACACTTTTAAAACCTACTTTGGCTGATGGTTTCATATTTTCCTTTTTATCCTTTGTCTGTGCCAAAAAGGAATCTCTTCTTGCACTTGATTTTCTTTCCATGCCACTTATCTTGATGTTTAATTGTGAATTTTCTGTCTGTTTCATTTTTAAAAAATTAAGAAATTTATTAAGCATGCATCGAATGCATTTTGCTTCTGAAAAAGATTCTGAAAATTTCAGTTTAATGACTACTCATTTCAAATTATGCAAAATTTCTTCTGACTCTTCAAGCGTACTAAAAACAAAGGAAAGCCACAGTCTAATATGTAAAAGGGTTTGTCTAACTTTTATAGTCAGTTTCCCAACATTTAGCTTTGTCATTTCTGAAAATAAAACGTGCCATATAAACTCTGTAAGGTAAAGTAAATCCTAGTACTAGACTCAGATACTATGCATAAGACTGGAAGCTAAGAGAAAAAAATTAGGAAATTTGCAACATTCCTGAATAAAGGTGGTCAATAAAGCAAATAAGGTGGAGATAGTAATGCATCCCGCACATTTTCTCTAATACCAGAATATAGTTTTATTTGGTTTTGAAGACAGGGTCTCCCCATAGCCACAACTGGCCTGGAATTCTCTAGATCAGCCTCCACTCAACCTTGGAGATCCACCTGCCATCCCCTCCCAAGTACTGGGATTAAGATCATGTACCACCACCCCTGGCATAGGATATATAGTCTTTGTAAACTAAATTACGCTGAACAAATCTTAAGTTTAATTCATTTTATCTGCCGAGATATCAGCCAAAAGAAAAAACAGTAAGCCACATAAATTTTTCTTATAATTCTAAACAAAACTGACTATATACATACAATCTGTTCCTGAATAGAAAACCATTTTCTAAGTGGCCCTATTCATAAGAATATGGTATCCATTCCAATACCCTTTTTACTCCTAGATCTTCAGAAAGCAACCAAGTATTAATCAAAGTTAACTTTTACTTTAACTGGTGACCTGAATCTAGCAGACATGTGTTACTTCTGACATAAGGAGTGAGAAATATGAGGCAAAAATGAAGGCTAGCCCTTAATTAGATATGGACTGATTAAATATTATTTATCCATATTAAGCTGGCCCTTATCTCAAAATAAACTGTAAATAGGGAGACACTGAGCATGTAGCTTCAGTGGTAGTGTTTAAGCAACCAGTACCCTGAACCGCAAAATAGTAAGACAGCTGATATCTATGGAGGAAAAAAAAAAATTCACATTATTTAATTTCTTTCTGTTCAAGTTCTAATTGTTACTCATCTACCACAAATTATTCAAACATAATTTTTAATAAATATCTTATGATTTTTTATTTTATATATATGAATGTATTGCTTGCATGTGTAAGTGTACTCATGTCATGTAACGTCCTCAAAAGTCAGAAGAGGGCATCAGATCACCTGGAACTGGAGTTATGGATGGCTGTCAGGCAATGTGGAAGCTGAGACTTGAACCCGGGTCCTCTGCCAGAGTAGCCAGTGCTCTTAACTGCTGAGCCATGTCTAGCACCTCAAACATAATTTAAAAATCAAAAAGCAACTTACTGCATCTGAATATGGTCCACTGGATTCCTCCATCATTTCAACATTTTCCAAACCAGGCAACAGAAGCAGAAAGTTTTGTTTGGCTTGTCTTAGTACTGGCCTTTAAAAAAATACATAAATATACATTATGAGTAAAGGGAACACTGGTAATGTTAACAAGAATATATTTTTTTTGAGACAGGGTCTCTCTGTCTAACAAGAATACTTTAATTAGGATACAGGGTCTCACACTTGCTATTTAGCTATCTGACCTTGAACTTCTGATCCTCCTAGGATTACAGCCCTGTGCCACCACTCCCAGTTTATGGTGTGTCATGGATCAAATCCAGGGTTTCATGCATGTTAGGCAGGAGCTCTATCAATTGAGTTCTACCTGTAATGAATGACTATAATACCAGGAAGCTTGAAACGAGAAGTTCCAAAAGTTCCAAACCAAACTGTGCTACAAAAGTGAGACCATACCTCAAAATAATAACCACCACCATTTCCACCCCACCCCCCAAAAAACCAACTTTCAAAATTAATAACTTCCTTATCATGGAAAATTTCAGATAGTAGAATATTATACGAACTACCTATGACTAGCTTAAATAACCATAAAATTTCTGCCCTTGTTTCTTTAAAAAAATTTTCATTGCATATATTGGTTCCCAAAATCAAATTAATCTAAGGCCCAAATAAGTTAACCCATGTCTGATAATTACCATGTACTCTGAAAAAATAATCCTCTGCAACAATTCCCTATAAGTTCACTTAATAGCAAAATAGCAATTTAAATTATTGGAATAGAGTAAGTGGGCATAGGAAAGCTTGGTTGCTAACATACTTTAATTCCTCAGGATAAACCAGCACTGTCACTTTAGCAAATGTAGCATTCCAGAACAAAGCACTCTGTTTTCGAATCTGTTTATTCTTGTGCAGAAATATCATGCATAGTAGCGGGGAGAGTTGTTCAAGGAGTTCACTGTCGTAAGTTCCAGTGTAGCTGAACTGTAGACAAGCAATAATTTCTCCTAGCAGCTTTTCTAACTAGAAAGATAAAAAGCAAAAAGTATACTGAACACCAACTTGCAGCACGTCACTATTTACTAATTCAATGTTTAAAATTTGAACCATTTTAAAGTACTCCTATACCATAAATACAAATAAATTATAAGGCAAATATACTTTAAGGTTGATATTATAGCTTGATTTGAGTTTACTTTCTGTTAGCAGAAAAACAAATTGCTCTCCTATTAATTTTAACAGGACTTATTAATTGTCTATAATTTTATCAATGAAACTTTGGAGCTTAACTGCTCTCATATAAAGAGATGTTATTTAAAAAGGAAAGAACGCTCCCCCGAAACTACCTATGAATGTGCCCAAACTATTATTTAATGCATATTTAAAAAGAAATAATGATAATAAAGGTAGGTGAGATAACTCAAAGAGGTGAAGTTGTTTTGCCAGCAAGGCTGATGATCCCTGGGACTCATGTGGAGAACACCAAACTCCTGCAAACATATTCTGGCCTCCACGAGCAGGCAATGGCAAGCATGCAAATAAACATTCACAAAATAACTGAATAAATGTAAAACAGCCACAAACAAATCTACAAAACCCTTCAAAAATCGTAATTATTTTTAAAGGAAGACAACTGCGTAAACATTACCATTCCTTATCAAGGAAGTAAATTTTATGGACACCATATTTACCTTGTTGTTCAGACAACTATATACTTTAGGAACCTCTTCAGACCTGAAAAGACACAAAAGTTAGCATGTAAGTTGTGCTACCTATCAAGCTCAGCCTTAAAGTGAAATGTAGTCACAAAAACCAGTAGCAACATTCACAATAATATAAAATAACCCAAAGATTAGTAAGATAAGAGTACTAAATAGAAAGTATTAAATACAGGGCTGGAGAGATGGCTCAGCAGTTAAGAGCACTGACTGTTCTTACAGAGGACCTGGGTTTGATTCCCAGCACCCACATGGCAGCTAGGAACAATCCTTAACTCCAGTTCCAGGGAAATCAGATATATGCAGGCAATACACTCATACACATAAAAGTAATAAATATTTAAAAAAATAAAAGTATTAAATACTTCATCTTTAGAAAAATGAGTTATTAACAGAATCTTGATTAGATTTCTAAGTGTTCGTAACTACACCCCCTCCCCCGCCACAGCCCTATGGGTAAAACCCAGGGCCATGTACAAGCTTTAAATGTGGGCCAGTGGGTACCCACAGAGGGCAAACAAGGGTACCAATCCCTTGAACATCAAGCACTCTTAAACACTGAGCCATCTCTTTAGGCCCTCCCCTCTTCTTTGCACTCTTTAAAATCTGTTCCTTAAGACTTTCTCCATGAACATAATTTACAAAAGATGTAAGCAGGCCTTGAGGGCAGGGATCTACTTGCCTCTGCCTTCTGAGTACTGAGATTAAAGGCATGTACCACCACACGTACCTCTATTTAAACTTAGCTTTAACAAAAGACTATTTTAACATATATCCTCCAAATCACCATCCACAACAACCAAGCTGAAACACTATTGCCTGGGTGGGTGTTGTGGCACATGCCTTTAATCCCATCGCTTGGGAGGTAGAGGCAGACAAACCTTTGTGAGTTCGATGCCAGCCTGGTTTACATAGTTCCAGGCTGGGGCTTCAAGACCTTGTCTCAGAAAGATGGGGAAAAAATGAAATTATTACCTCTGTTTAAATTACACACATTCAAGTTGAAGAGATGGCTCAGTTTGCTAAACGCTTGCCACATAAACATGAAGATTTGAATTCAGTTGCCCAGCACTGACAGAAAAAGCCAGATGACACATAGACCTGCAATCCTAGCACTAGGGAGATAGCCGGACACTTGGAGCTGGCCAGTTAGTCTTGCTGAACTGATAAGCTCCAGGTTCAGTGAGGGGACCTATCTTGAAAAGTAAGGTGGAGAGCAACTGAAGAAAGCCGGTACTGATCCCTCACCACATACACGTGCATACATGTGCACATATACATGATTAACAGATGCACAAAGATTACGTATTTAATTTAAAGTGGGTAAACTGAGCACTACTTACTTTGAGTTTTCATACAATAATGCCAGAGGTCTTGTTAAAGTTGCAAATATTTCTCGGATCATAGAAGGCAAAGAAATGTGTCCAAATACATTGGAAAGTATGCTGGTGATTGAGGTACCGATAGCAAGTAGTGTATCAGTATGTACTTCCTTGTAGCTCAGAGCTTGGAAAGAATGGATCATTCTCACAAGAAGCTTAAATAAAGAAGCCAGTTTCCCTAGGGGCTCCTTCTTTTTTTTGGCCCAATCTGAAGATCTCTGTGGTACTAATAAGAGACAATTGGGTTCATTAAAACTTGAGTTCTTTGATGTCTCACTGTCTACCTTTACAACTTACATTTAAAATGCTAACTACATCAAATACACATGTTCTTATTAATGTAAATCTTAAAATAATATACCATTAACAGGTAAGTATCAAGAGTTCATTTAAAAATAAAAATCCAAGACAATGGGAAAGAGCTGGCAGATCTGCCAAAATAAGAATTTCAGAAAAATGAGTCAATTTCTCTGAGGAATTATAAAATACATTTCACATTCTTCTACTTCAGAATTTCAACTAGCTTAGCAGTACTAAATCACATGATAGGTAAACAAAGATAAATGTTCATAGTTTTTCAATAAAATTATCTTCACTAGCAATTTCTATTTCCTAGCTCATCAACACACAGCACATTGATCCCTGCAAATAAAGGCAGAGATCCAAACCCTGAGAAAGAATACAATTAAACTCCAGTAAGGATTGATTACTCTTAAAAGCACTGATTTTTCTTTGCACTTAGATCTCTACAATCCATTCCAGTTACAGGTATAACTTTCTCTTGCCCTGAAAAAAAAGAAATCAAACCAATTCCAAAACTATCTATTTCTCTAAAACAATTAAGTTAGAGAGCTCAAAGTCTAGTTCAGGACTTATTAACCTCATGGTGAAATGAAAGCCAAGGTTACTACTGAAAAGAAGTCAACCTTCCTCTGTAGACTCAGTTTCTTCAACATGAATGAATATTGGAAAAGCTCAAGAGTTCTCAGGAGCTGAAGTGCTGAATGGCTGAGGTGACATGGGACATCAGTAGACAATCAAAAAAATACATGACTGACCAAATTATGTATCTAGTTAGAATAATGGCAACCAAGTTTCTCACTTAAAGTATGTAGGTACAAATGAAGAACTACATGGTATTAAATTATAAAAACAATCAAGAGAAACAGACAAAAATGATTCCATACACAAGTACTTCCTAGTTGTTTTCAGTAAAAAGATCCAGAAACAGACATCATAATAGCAAGCAATAAACTGACCTAGGGTTTTTAAATTATTTTATCTTACGTGTATGAGTATATTGCCTGCATATATATATAATATATGCACCCATGTCATGCAATGCCCATGGAGCTCAGAAGAGGGTGTCAGATCCCCTGGAATTGGAGTTACTGATGACTGTTAGCCACCAGGTAGGTAATGGGAATCCAACCTAGGTCCTCTGCAAGAGCAGCCAGTGCTCTTAACTGCTGTTATCTCTCCAGCCCCCAATAGTGGTTTTTACATTCTAGTTTCAGCTAAAAGTAAAGGAGTTTGCTGGGAAATATCTCATTCTATGTTGTAGGGAAATATAAAATAAGGCTGAATGCTTCTGCCAATTTTTCAAAGAATAATGAGAATGTAAAGGTTATAAAATAGGGGTGGAAGGATATGGTTCAATGGTAAAGTTGTTTCATTTGTAGGTGAAGGTCCAGTACAGAGGAAAAAAACAAGATATAGAAGACTAACGGTTCTGTGCATAAGCATGACGACCTGAGTTTGGATCCCCAGCACCCACATGGTTTTGTTTTTTTTAAAAAACAAAACAAAACATGGTGTCATATAAAGTACCATATTGTTTTAGGAAGATCATTTATTAATGTGTGATAATAAATTCATGAGCCAATTTCGTAAATAACAGGATATTCAGGGCTGGGGAATATAACTCAGCGGGCACAATACTTGTTTACCATGCACAAAGCCCTAGGTTGAATCTCCAGTACCATATAAAATCACCATGCCCATAATCCCAGCGCTCCATAGGCAGGAGGATCAGAAGTTCAAAGTCATCCTTCCTAAACAGGGGCTTCCAGGCCATCCTGGACTAGAGACTGTCTCAAACTAAATGAGTTTATCCTTCACTATATAACAAGTTCAAGACCTACTTGCACAACTAGAGATGCTGCCTCAACAAAAAAGAGGATAGTTCCACAATCTCCTATAGTAATCACAAGACATCATTATTTAGTAATTAACTTTATAATGGAAATTTGACATTTATCAGTCTAATATTAAAAGCTAACATTAGGAATAAACAGGGTATGAATTACAAAACCCACATTAGTTCTGTGGAGTTCCTGTAAAGAAATGAATGACAATTAAGTCAACACTGAGAAAATATTACAGGTTTACTTGTCTATAACAAACATTCAAACAGAGAATAAAATTTATATGCTGGCTCCTGCCTTTAATCCCAGCACTCAGAAGGCAGAGGCAGGCAGATCTCTGTGAGATTGAGACCAGCGGGGACTACAAACAAAACAAAACAAATGTATATGACAAACACAAAAGCATAAGACAAATATAAATAACTGAATTTTTCTAGCTTTGATACAGGATCTAGTCCAGGCTAGCCTTCAACTGGAGGCAATCCTCCATCAGGCTAAGCCATTCAAGTACTAGGATTACAGGGGAACCACCAGGGTCAACCCACACAACTGTTATTGGAGAATGTAAGTAAAAGATAGGAAATTTCTGGCCGGGTGTGGTGGTGTAAGCCTTTAATCCCCGCACTTGGGAGGCAGAGGCAAGCAGATTTCTCTTCTGAGTTCAAGGCCAGCCTGGTCTACTTGGTGAGTTCAAGGCCAGGTGGGGCTACAGGGAAATCCTGTCTCAAACAGACAAAAAAAATAAAAAAGAGGTTTCTATAAATATCTTTTATCAATTATGTTACTCAACTGATACTAGCATAATATCCTGATAACTAGTTTATAAAGTTAAGTAGGGAAAAAGCCTTAAGAATTTTCCTTAAAGTGATATGAAATATTAAATAAACAAAGGTAAAGAGGATACTTACATTTGATTTGGGGCTGGTATTTGATGTTATATGGTGAAAAATCAATGCAATCCACCATTACAGTAATAATATGAGAGATCCTGTCTAAGAACAACAAATCCTATGGAAGAATAGTTAAGTATCATGATTAGAAAACTCTAAATACTGACAGAGCATTCAATAACAGTAAACATGAATATTTTTTTTTTTACTACAGGAGCCACAAATATGGCTATAAATATTTCACAGTTAATGGTTATATAGCAAACTCTATAATTTGTTTCTCAATATTCAGGAAAACTATCTTTAAAATATCCGAAAAAAGCCTAACCATATCAACCAATAAATTCACAACAGAAATAAACAGATTAATTACTATTTACTTATTTATTTAGTGCTTGCTGAGAGGTAAGGGTCCCAAACCTTGGCCGCCAGGCCCAACTTCTGCCCTCTGCCTAGTTCCCATCTGCAACATTTACCAATTAGTACCATGCCCACACACTTCCACTGAACCAGTTAACTAACTACAGGTGTGTCTCAGAAACCCACCCCCCAAAAAACATCTTCTCCAAAAACTAATGGACCTCTATAAGAACAACCTGAAAAAACATCCAAATTCAAAAGAATAATCAATTCTAACTATCTTTAAACAACTCAAAGGCATGCAATGAAATGTTAATACAGATATGAAAACAAAATTCAATAAAGATAGAATTACTGAAGAAAAGACCCACTGAAATTATGCTGGAAATGAAAAAAACTCCATAAGCCAAATAAAAACCTCAAGGGTAAGTCTCCTCAACAGAAAGGATCATATGGAACACTGTCATTGAGTACTGAAAGACAGGGGAATTGTATTACTTAGTAAAGGTCAATGATAAATTTATAAAACCCCATGAATGGAACATGGGAGAGCTTTGGGATACCATGAAAAGACCTAATCTTCCAGAGACGTTCATCTACATATAAGAGGCCTACAGAACTCCAAATAGTCAGTTTGAAAAGAAACTCCCCATGACATTACATTTAAAACATTTTTAAAAAACACAGAAAAAAAGGTATTTAGAAGCTGCAAGAGGGAAAGGGAAATAAAAACCTTCTGAGATAAAAACAGATTGAAAGAATTTCTGACCACTAAGTCAGCTCTACAAAGGATACTAGAAGGAATACTTCAGTCAAAAGTGAAGGATAAACAGACCCAAGAGGCCATGGGGAATAAACAATATTATGTCTAAGAAGCAGGCAGTGACAGCATACCCCTTTAATCCCAGCACTCGGAGGAATAGGTAAAGGTAGGCAGATCTCTGTGAGACTGAGGTCAGCAGCGAGGCCTACATAGTGAGTTCCAGGCCAGCTGGGGATACAGGGAAGTTCTGTCACCAAAAAAAAAAAAGCAAAATGGCAGGAACTAGTAGACACCTTTATAGTAACTCAGAATAGTAAGTCTCAATTTTCCAATAAAAATACAGACTGCCAGACTGGATCAGAAAACAAGATCCATCCTTTTGCTGCCTCCATGAAATGCATCTTACCATCAGAGGTAGCTACCATCTTAGGGTAAAAGGATGGAAATGGATCTAGGAAACAAGTAGATGTAGCTATCCTAAACAATCACTAAAATACCTCAAACCAAAAAGAGATAAAAAGGGATATTTCAAGCCGGGCGAGGTGGCGCACGCCTTTAATCCCAGCACTCAGGAGGCAGAGGCAGGTGGATCTCTGTGAGTTCAAGGCCATCCTGGTCTACATAGTAAGTTCCAGGACAGCTGGAGCTACAGGGAGACCCTGTCTCAAAAAGACCAAAAAAAAAAAGGGGGGGGGCTATTTCATATCCATTAAAGGAACAACCCATCAAATACAGACCAAATACAGGTGCATCCAATTTCATAAAAGAAACATTATTAAAGGAAATATGGGGAGAATAACAATTAATTGTCCACCCCAGCCCTAAAGCCTAATAATCGTAATGACTAGCATGGCAAACTACCTCTACTGGTGCAGTAGTGACACTGTTACCCGGGGGTGGAGGTGGGGGTGAGGATCAACAGCTATCTAATTGGATTCAAAGCCCTGGCAATGGGAGGGAACTCACAGGTGGCACTGTAAAAACAGCCAAATACGTATGGGAGGGGAGGGCATAGATCCTGGAGAAAACCCTATCTCTTCCATAACTCAAGACAAAAAGAAATGTCTTAACTATATGCTAAGTATCAATCCTTATATTTACAGACAAGCATACCGTATACCACTCATCAAAGAAGCTTCTTTTTTGCAACAGATGGAGACTACTGCAGAGTTTCACATCTGGTCAGGCACAGAGAACATACACCTGGGAGATGCCCATTATTAAGCGACACATTTGCAGTTGAATCTCTATAACTAAGGCTCATGGAAGACAGCAGAATAAAGGGTAGAGAAAGGGCTAATGTATCCCTCAACTCTCACCAGTGAGGCTTCCATATACACCAGAATGTGATGCACACAAGGCCTCAACTGGCCAACTTTTGGAGAATAAGAGACTGTAGGGTGTAGGATGGAACTCCTCACCCACCAACAGCTCAGAGACCATTGCAGAAGAGGAGGCAGAAAGATTCTAAGAGCCACAGATGGTTCATAAACACAGGGAGGTGGGGGCTTCCAGGCCACTGGAGGCTTGCTCAGGTGAGCCTGTGGCAGTGGTAGTGTTGAGTGCAGGGCCCATGTCAGCTCAATTAAGGAAGGGCCAAAGGGGGTGAGAAATAGGTGGTGGTCCACCAATAGTCTGAGAACTATTTGAGACTGACTGGTGTTGGGTGAGGAAGAGTATGATTTACATATAATGGGTGGGCTGACTAGAATCCAGTGGACACATTTACACTGAAGGACATTTGGGTACAAACAAACACTTGAATGAATAGGACTTAGCATGTATGGCAGAGTGCATAGGGTTTGGTGGGAGGATGGAAGGAGGGATGGATGGTGGAGGGAGTCTGGATTTAATCGGGAAATGTATGAAATTTAAAAAGTTCAATAAAAATTATCTAAAGTCTCTGCTTTCCTGGGTGTGCATGACCCTACAGGCTCTCGGGCATCTCTCCCGGGTAAGTCGATCGTGCCCTCCCCGCCTTGACTCCCCCAGCCTCATCCACTCTCCCATCTCTCTGGCCCATCTCTCCTCCTACCCTGGGTCCTGTCCCATTCCTTGTCTTGGCGCCCCAGACACCGAACCACCACTGCTTCCTGATCCTTTGCATCCAAACCAACCCAGTTCCTTCTCAAGGTCCCCAGGAACCCTCACCTCCCTCTGCTTCCCTGGGTTACACCGCCCGCCAGCCTCCTTCCTGGAAGCCTAGGCTGACCTCTCGGCCCTGGGCGACCACTGCTTCCTGATCCCTGGCATCCAGGCAGACCCAGTTCCTTCTTGAGGTTCCCCAGGAGATCTCTGGGCCTGATCTTGCCCTCACCTCGCTCTGCTTCCCTGGCTGCACTACCCACCAGCCTCTTTCCTGGACACCACCCTCTGTCCTGGATGCAGGGCCTGACCGTTGGGCTTCCTAATCCTTTGTATCAAGACCAACCCAGTTCCTCAGTGCAGTCCCCAGAAGCCCTTGGGGCTTCTACCCGCCCCCATCTCCCTTTGCATCTCTGGATGGCGTGGCCACCACCTGCCCTAGACCAGCACTTCTCCAGGGACCTGCTCCCAGGCCAGTCCAACCCCAAAATTCCTGAGGCCAAAATCTTTCCTGGAGGGCTCCACACTTTAGGAGAAAGCCTGAGGGCATCTGATCCTCATCTGACTTAGGCCTCTGTGGAAACTCCTGAAGACAAGAGCAATCTGGCCATTCCAATATAAAATTGAGAGAACCTGAAGTTTAGACGAACCAGCTTTTCATGCCCAAAGAGTAAACCACAAAGGAACATAAAGTTCACAAAAAGAAGCAGACCTTAACTGGAAGGCTTGAGTCTCACACAAGAATCAGAAACTACAAAAGAAATTCACATGTCAAAATCACAGAGAAAAAATAACATGAAAAACCAAAATAACATATCCCCACCAAATACCAATAATCCTCTAGAGGAGTACAATGAGAACCCCCTAGAGATAATGCAGGACATGTAACTCAAAGAACAATTATAAACATGATAAAGGAATTCAGTGAATTTAAAGAACGCACAAAGAAACCAAAGAACTGAAGGAAGACAGGGATAAACTTCTGAATGAATTCATAAAAGAGCTAGAAATATTGAAGAATACTCAGGCTGAAATGAAGAAGGAAATGAAACACTCACCAATAGGATGAATGAAATGGAAAACAGAGTATCAAGACTGGAAGATAAAATGGACGACCTAGACCACTCAAGCAAAGATTATGAAAAATTTAAGAAATCACAAGAATGGAATATGCAGTAATTGTGTGACACCATAAAAAGACCAAACTTACAAATCATAAGCACAGAGGAGGGAGAAGATTCCCAAGATAATGGCATGGACAAGATCTTCAACAGAATCATGGAAGAAAATTTCCCAAAATTAAAGAAAGACATGTCCATACATATACAAGAAGCACATACAATGCCAAATAGACAGTACCACAAAAGAAACTCCACGAGACGTGATAGTAAAAACACTAAATGTTGCCAGGCGTGGTAGTCCATGCCTTTAATCCCAGCACTCCGAGGCAGAGGCAGGCAGATCTCTGTGAGTTCAGGCCAGCCTGGTCTACACATTGAGTTGCAGGAGAAGCTAGCGCAACAGAGAGACACTGTCTCAAAAAGACCAAAAAAAACATTTTAATGTTTTTAAAACACTAAATATACAGGACAAAGAGACAATACTAAAAGCTACAAAACAGAAACAAGTCATATATAAAGGAAAACCCATCAGAATTATATCTGACTTTTCAGTGCAAGCTATGAAAGCCAGAAGAACCTGGGCCAAAGTATCCCCAGTTCTAAATGAACAGAGATACCAACCCAGATTACTTTACCCAGCCAAAATCTGTATTATAGTCAAAGGGGAAAGAAAAATTTTCCATGACATAAATAGGCTGAAGGAATTCATGTCCACAAAACCAGCTTTTCAGAGAGTTCTGGAAGCAATACAAAGAGCCGAAGAAAGGAGTGATTACACTTAAGGGCTTG